TGAGACATCGTTTAGCAATTAGAGAAAGACAGGGTTATGGAAGGGGCATTAAATTTAGGGGTATTTAAAGCTTTCTTGCTCTTGACCATTTTGGCTCAAAAATTATAAACTTGTGCTTCTTAAACTAATGTTCCCAAGGGCAAGGTCGGCCTTTGCTTCAACTTCACCTTGGATTCTTTAGCACTTGCCTTCTCCTCCGGCTCTCTAACTTTCCTCTGTGAACTTCTTAATATTCCCAATTTTCTCTTGACTCTTCCAGATAATTTCCCAGGCCCTTCGGAAAAGAATTAAGAAGGCCGCCCCTGTGTAGAATGAAGAAATCATTGACATTTGCCTAACATACTATTAAGGATTTATCATCTGTAGTATTTTGTTGTCATAGCAATCTTGCAGGTAGTTATCATTATCTCCAGTTTACAAATAAGGCTTCGGGTGTTAAGTGATTTTGACTAAGACAGTAAGCGCTGGTTAGGGTGGGAGTTCAAACCCAGGACTCTCTACCTCCCAAGTCCAGGGTCTTCCTACTGTTTTACGCTACTTCCTTACTGATTTTTTCAAGTTCTGAGCTAGGGAAAGGACTTACTCCTTCATGTCTGGGAGAATATGATCCTTTCTTTCCTATTTGGTCCCAAACGGACTCAAAGGAATCATGTTTAAGTTTCAAAGGATGCGTAGCTGAAAGATCTTTAATCTATAGGAGCCCCCGTGTTTGTAATTATCGCTTGCTCCAAATAGTGCTGGCATCTACTACCGTATGCCTGAATCAGGGGTACCTGCACAAGGAATTCCTCCCTTGACACAGTAATGATAAAGAAAGCCACAGAGGTCTTTCCTCCACTGCAAGAGTTGGCTCACATTTATTGAGCATCTACTACATGTCAGGCTCTGTGCTAGGTGCTCTGAGCTCACGCCCTTTGCTTCAATTGTATGGGCTTTGCTCCATGGCACACAGCTAGCTCATTTCACAGAGCTCCAAATAAACCCACTCCTCTAGGAGTTCATGCAGAGGAGATGTCTCACAGATAAAAATGAAGAAGGAGCAACACAGGAGGGGAAACCGCTTCTAGTTCTCTACCTCAAGGGAAAGTGTGTCATAAGACAAGGGAAAGATATCTCTCAGCAACTGTCTACATTAACCTGGGTTTATAGGTCCAGGCCTGGAAGCAATCGGCCAAGCATTAAAGAAATCACAATGAAGCCAAGAATAGATATGAGAAAAATGGAAACCAGATACAGCTGCAACACTTTTTCATGCATTGGTTCCTGACATCAAATCTCTGTAGGCCAAATGCAGAAGTTGGTGAGCATTCTGAGAGAAATTAGCAGTGTCCCACAGTAGTCCTCTTCAAACCCTAGGAAACATCAAAAGCATTTTCCTCTTTTCTGTCAGGAGGAAGAAGAATAGCCAGAACAGAACAAATAACCTTCACTTTGAGTTAAATCTGGTGAGAAGCTGGTCGTAGGGCCTTGACAATGCCCTACATGTACAGAGTGACCGTTCATCCTACTTTGCCCAGGACTGCCCCGGTTTATGCTTGTTGTCTAGTGTAATTAGACAACAAGCATAAACACATCCCTCTTTCCACTAGAAAGTATTCTGATTTTGACAATAAACTGACTATATGATCACCTTGCTTATTCGGCAGGTTTCAACTCATTGCTCCTTTGGCCCATACACAATAAATTGGGCTGGATATACTCCAGTGTTTGAGGAAAAGTTAGTCTTCACAGAAATTCATTTTGTCAGAAAGAATCCTGTGCAGATGATGAAATTTCCACATTATTCCCCCTCAACCTGCTGTGCATGCACACACACACTCACTCACACAGTGTCTCCTGTAAGTCGACATTCTTAGAACAGTCTTGCATGCTTTTGTGAATCTGAAGTCTACCACCAAATGTCTATTAGAGTCACAAGAAAAAAGTTTAAATATGGAAGTTTTGAGTAGATTTGATAGTGATGTACCAAACCTCTGCACGGGGCAGAAAACTATGGGAAGTGGGCTTGCAGACTCCCAAGTATAAAGTAGTCACAAGTCAGGCCATTTGCTTGTCAAACGGGAAAAGTCTGGCCTCTCTTCTGCCCCTTCCTGTGTTCCCTAACCTCCTCTCTAACCTCAGATGATTCATCTCAGGATCACTTTCCTATTTGTTCCAAAACAGGATATTCAATTTCCTTTAAAAGCCAAGATAAACGACAGATAAAAACGGACCAAGAAAACTGGGATTCCTTGCCTATTGAGGAGCTCAGAATGACAGGAGTCAGAGCTCTGTCACCAAGATGGCATTTCATTTTGGATACACACCTTAATTCTTAGATTCTATTATTTGCAGCTTTGAAGGACAATCAGAAGGTTTTGGGTGCTTCCGTTTTCTTGTGAATGTGAAAACCAGCTCCCCCTAGCGCTGACTAGGAAGAATAAAAGCAAAAATAATAGAGTGGAACAAGAGTGTCACCTACTGGCCAAAGCGTGCTTTCATTCATTTCTTTGACTAAATCAGTATCACCTGTCAGTGGAATGCGTCCAGTGCTCCCTAGGGATTATTTAGTGTTCGTTAACACTGAGGTGCTTTAGAATCAGAAATTCAAAAGGGATAGTCCCTGTCCTCAAAGAACCCAGAGTTTGAATGAGGGACTTTGACATGTAAACATTTTAGAATAGAATGGGATAACCGTTACGACAAGGGACTCTTTCTGGTGGAGTCAGGGAATGTGTGACAGAGGTGCTGAGCCTAAGATTAACTGAAAATTCATTAGCTTCATGCTTGGCTTACCCATCCCTGTGGCCGATTGCACAACTTGAGAGGCTGCGACTGTTGAGCTTAGCACAAATCATCCATTTGCTCTGTCTTGTGATGTGCCTTTCCACTGCAGTAGCCACTCACCATGTGTAGCTATCGAGCACTTGAGATACAGCTAATCTAAACTGAGATATGCTGTAAGTGTAAATTACACTCCAGATTTCAAAGATTTAGAATTCTAAAAAAAGTGTGAAAAATCCCTTAATATTTTTTATATTGATTAGATGTTGAAATGATACTGGATCCATTGTATTAAAGTATATTATTACAACTAATTTTATGTTTTTATTTTTTTGTTAATGTGGCTCTAGAAATCCTGAAATTATGTATGTAGTTCAAATTATATTTAAACCAGGTGGTGCTGGTTGAAGCCATTAGTTCAACTTCAGTAGGAATTATAACATATTCGGCTGAGATTCCTTTAGAACTGAGTTCCTGGCTCTGGCTATGAAAGAGGGTTCTGGACTTGGCTTTGCTCCACTACTCAGTAACTGGGGGGAATTTGAGCAAGTTTAAACTCTTAATGTCAATTTTCTTATTTATAAATGGGATATTACCTATGAGTTGTGAGCATAAATACAATAACCACTATAAACTAGAGCCTATTACTATACACTTAACACATATAAGCTCTTAAAATTTTTTTAAAGGCTTTATGAATAATATACTCTTAATGAACATTAAGACCAAAACTTACTGAGTGCTTCCTACTGCCAGGCCCTTTGTATGAGTTCTCTCCTTTCATTTACCAGGGTCCTAGTTTTATCCCCTTCCTTAAGCAAGCCACTTCACCTTTCTAGATCCTCACCTTCACACTAGGATGGTTGGTCAATAAATGACTTCTGAGGTACCTTCCAGTTTTGACATTGTCAGAAATTTAAAAAAAAAAAAAAAGCTATCGTACTTGTATATCCAAAAGATGTCTTCCAATGGTTTCTTTATATAGTCTCTTGTTCTTGTTTCATGGTTGTATTTCTTCATTTCTCTGAAGACAAAAATTTGTTTTAAATTTTCTTCTACTACCTGCACTTTTGTTTCCTCTGTTTTCCCTATTGTTCGATTCTCATTCATGTTACTTTTTCTTCACGTCTGGTGTTCCTTGCTTGCTCATTGCTATCTAAGGATGAGGGACTAAATGTTGACTAGAACCTGTGTTTGTGTTGGGCAGAGGAGACTTTCTAACTGAGAGGTGAGGGATGGAACTCGTCTGTTTTGTTGAGGCACCTCAATGTCAGTATCTGCAGGTCTTTGAGGAGAGGAAGCGTCCATTTTCCTGTCTGATGGGTGGAAGCCTGGCAATTTGAGTTCTGGGGACTCACAGGTCACACTTCCTGCTGGGTCTTGCCATTTCAGTGTGGTGCTTTACCTGCAGTTGGAAGGTCAGTTGAGTTGATTTGCTCTTTAGAGTGTTAAGATTATTTTATTTTTTGATTCTCTACATATTCTAATATTCTCACAGTAAATATATATTGCTTTTGTATTAAAAAAAATAAACATACAGAAATGTAAATTGAAAAAAATTATTTTCAGCTCCAAGCTAAATAAGTGAAAGTTGCTACAGTGGTCACAAAGGAAACTTTGAACTTAGTACCCACTGGCGGCCTGCAACAGGTCATCTAATCCAGGGACAGGTGGCCAATAAACAGAAAATCTTAAAATTCCACTTTCCTTAGGAATATATTTTTTGAGCTATCTTTGACTATGTCCTAATTAAATGTTCTATTAATTTGTATATCAAAACTAATATTCACATTACAAAGAAGTGCCTCTTCTTAGGCATGTTGCTTCTTTCTCCCTTTCTAACTTGAGGAATACATCACATCTCAGATTGCTGCAGAGACAACCTAAGTAGAACTCTTTTTTTTGTACATATTCTGGAGGTCTGGTTTCCACCTTTAATGTAACATGTATTATTCTTTTGAGAGACCTGCCCCATAGTGAATTGCAGGAAATTATGAAGTGTCTTTTAATGTCAATACGAGCTTGAAAGCAACTGTGGCTGTAAATGCTGATTTCTGAAATACATAACTAGTTGACTCTAACTTTACTAGAATCATGAAAAACAAATCTGAATCTGGATATATCTACAGTCTGTGGCTGTGTATAAAGATCAATGAGAAATGAGGAAATGATTCTTAAGCCTTCGCTGGCAATCCTAGGACTGTTTGTTATTTGACATTTTAAAAAGGCCATCCAAATATATTTTCTTGAAAGAAACATTTATTTATGATCTTTATCGGTCAGTTTCAAACAAATCCAGAACAGGTTTTCACATTTTGAGCCTTTAGTGCAAAGACACTATGTCATGCATGAAAGAAATGTTTTATCCAGTAAAGCTCTCCCCTGACACATTTAAATATTGGGATGATCAGAGAGAAGACTTATGTGACAGAAATCTGTTCAGAAATCTGCTTGAAAAAGGACATGATTTAAAGCTCAAATTAAGGTTTTTCACAACATAAATGTGCTTAAACGACTTAAAATTTCAACTTCTTAATTTCAAAACAAAACATCCCAAGAATCAACTACCCCTTTAAATAAAAAAAATAATCAATTTATACTCTTCTTAAAAGAACTCCAACAATGTAAAATAAGTTCCAATTCCAGAAATTTATATATATATGTACATTTATAACTTAGGTGCTCTTTTGCACTATATGCTTTTATTCATGCAACACTGACAGGACTGGACATGAGGGCCTACAGAGGCCTCTCCGAGAAGGCAGTGTAGCTCCTCGCCCTAGAAAAGAACAAAGGGGTGTACATCTTGTCAATCTCAAAAGCAGTGACTGCAGTCTCACCGGTTGACCTGGGAAGAAAGCACAGAATTACTAGTTACAAGGAAATTTCAACTCATTTAAAATCCTTGCATACTATAGTCTTAAAAACGTTCATTGTTTATTATTTTATACTTTGGCTTTTTAACTTTTAATTCATCTCAGTAAATTCTAACATAGGCATATTGTAGAAAATTTGAAAAATATAGGAAAGTTCAAAGAAATACCACTCATAATTCTATTCTATCACTCAGATACAGCAATATGAAGTACTTTCTTCTAATGTTTCTTCCAAGCACTTCAACCTCTATTGAATTTTCTTATTAAGATATACTTTTAGTTATCCTTTTTTTTCATTTAACATTGACATTTGCATTTCCTAACACCATTAAGTACTCTCCAGAGACATTTTTAGTGGCTGCATAATATTTCACTGTTTGCTTGCACCACAGTTTAACTAATACTTTCCCTTTTGTTGGAGATTTAGGTTGTTTTGAATATTTGGCAATTAAAAATTTTGTGGTATTTTTGATTATGTCCTTTGGACAGATTCCTAAGAGTAGAATTTCTAAGTCAAAGCCTAGACATTTTAAGGCTCTTGTTAAAATATAATTAAGAATTATCCTAGAATAGAATTTAATGATTTAACATTTGCATGATCAAAGCATAATTACAGATGGGAGGGAAGAGAAGCAGATGAAGTTATACTATTACAGTCTTTTACATTCCCTCCCCCCAAAAGGAGAAATAAACAAATGCAGAAAACTTAAGTGCTTTTATAAGTATTATAAAGGAGTCTATGTGATCAATAGTAGTTACAAATGATGCCAACTATAATGTCCTTTTCTCCTAAAACCATACGCTTTTCATTTACTTGGTTCTACTTCTGGGTTTGGTTTCTTTGAAAAGAAAAATTCCACAGATTACTGAGAGAAGCAAGAAAGAGATAGTAAGACTGGTAGGTAAGAGTAAGAAAAAAAGAAAAATGCTTGTTCTCAGTTGTCAGAGCCTTCCAAATGAGTGAGAAGTTACTTGTACGATAGAAATGTAATCCAGAAAGTTTTTTAACAATGTGGTCAAGGTTGTGAAGTAAGTTAATGGAAGGTGACCTCGAAACCTCTCAAAATTTTGGATTCAATTGGAACAGAGAGCCTTCAGGCACACACCAATATTCTTTCAAACTCAATAACAGCTAACTTTAATATCCACATAAATTGGTATTTTTCACTTTCCTAATTCCATTTCTAATCTTATTTTTGTACAGCTCCTTTCTCACACATGTCTGATCATTAATTATTTTACAGGTAAATCCTAACTCATGGAGGATCCAAGAAGGTGGCATAGGAGGATGCTGAACTGGCCCTCTCCCAAAAACATATCAAACATACACCTTTTATAGCAATTCCTCCTAGACAACTGTGGGCTAACTCAACAGCTTCTGTACAACAAACAACAGAGAGAGACTGCATAGAGAAGGCTGGTGAACCAGAGCGCTCTCTGAGAGCTGAAGGAACTATCCAGACTGGAGGAAATGGTGAGCCATTGTTTACATTTCCCCTGCACCTGGATAAGGGTGGGAGCTCTATCCGGGTTCTCTGGCTGATCTGCCAGGCCCCTGTAGCATGTTGCCGGCCACGCTGCCTGAAGCTCGATCCAGCAGGAACAGGAGGGCACCATAGTATGTGTACAGGAGGCCCCTCCACCTGGAAACTGATCCGGCAGGGTACAGCAGGGTGCTGCTGCAGGCACCCATTGTGCTGTGTGCGCACACAGGGCTCCTCTGCCTGAAGAGAGTATGACTGGAGAATCGCTGTGGTGCCCACACACAGGGCTGCTCCACCCAGAGAAAGTGCAGAGCTAGCGGGGTGTTGCAAGGCACACACACAGAGCAGCCATGCACAGACCCAGCTTGGGCAACAAAGAAACAGGCAATGGGTAGCCCTGCCCACACTGGTAAAGAAAAAAATCTCAGTGGTAAAGGCAAATACATAACAAATACAGTGAATCAACCACTTAAAAGCTAATATGAAGGTTAAAAGATAAAAGTAGCAAAATTAATTGTAACTACAATAAATAGTAATGGGATACACAAAAATATATAAAACATAACATCAAAAACAAAGAGTAGAAAGGGAGAGATAAAATGTAGTATTTTTAGCATGTGTTTGAACTTAAATGTCTATCAACTTAAAAGCTACAGAGATACATGGATATACATGAACCTCATGGTAACCACAAACCAAGTTTCCAAAAAATATACAAAAAATAAAGAGAAAGGAATGCAAACAAAACATGAAAGAAAACAGTATATCGAAAGAAATCAAGAAAAAAAGAACAGTATAAAAACAACTCGAACAATTCACAAAATGGCAATAAGCACACTAAAAAGCACACCTATTAATAATTACTTTAGTAAATAAATGCTCCAATAAAAAGACATAGGGGTGGTCGAATGAATAGAAAAACAAGATCCATCTATACACTGCCAACAAGAGACTCACTTTAGATTGAAAGACACACAGACTGAAAGTGAAAAAACAGAAAAAGATATTCCATGCAAAGAGAAACAGAAAGCTGGGATGGCAATACTCGTATCAGACAAAATACTTTAAAAAGGATATAACAGTTGTAAATATCTACACACCCAACATAACAGCACCCGAATAGATAAAGCAAATATTAATGGACATAAAGGCAGAAATAAACATTATTACAATAATAGTTGGAGACTATAATATTCCATTTATCTCAATGGACAGATTACTCACAGAGAATATTAATAAGGAAATAATAGCCTTAAATACCACAACAGCCTATATCAACTTAATAGACATTTTTTTGAACATTTCATACAAAAACTGCAAATTACACATTTTTCTCGAGTGCTCATGGAACATTTTCCAAGATAGACCATATGTTAGGCTGCAAAACAAGCCTCAATAAATTCAAGAAGACTGACTAGAAATTAAATTGCTAATCAACTACAGGAGAAAATTGGAAAAAACAAATACATGGAGATTAAACAACATGCTACAAATGATCAATGGATGAAAGAAAATCAAACAGAAAACCAAAAAATACCTTCGGATAGATGAAAACACAACTTTTCAAAACTTATGGAATGCAACAAAAGCCATTATAAAAGTTCATACCTATATAAGCCTATCTCAAAAAGCAGGAAAAATCTCAAATACATAATCTAACTTTACACCTAAAGGAACTAGAATAAGAACAAAACCTAAAGTAGAAGGATGGGAATAATAAAAATCAGAGTGAAAATAAACAAAATGAACCAAAAATATATATATATATGATCAACAAAATGAAGACTCGGTTCTTTGAAAGGGTAAATAAAACTGACAAACTCCTAGCAAGAATCGTCAAGAATAAAAGAGCCTAAATAAAATCATGAGTTAAAGAGGAGAGATTATAACCAACACCAAAGAAATACAAAAAAACAGTAAAGAAAACTATGAATAATTATATGCCAACAAATTAAATAATCTAGAAGAAATGGATAAATTTCTAGAAACACACAACCTTCTAAGACTAACCCATGAATAAACAGAGAATCTGAACAGTAATGAAACCGAAACAGTCATAAAAAACTCACAACAAACAAAAGCCCAAGACCAGATGGCTTCACAGGTAAATTCTACCAAACATTCAAAGAAGAATTAATATGAATCTTACTCAAACTACTCCGAAAGACTGAAAGGGAATGAATGCATCCAAACTCATTCTATGAAGCCAGCATTACCCTGATACCAAAAACAGACAAAGACACTTAAAAAAAAAAAAAAAATTACAGGCCAGTGTCTTTGATGAACATTGATGCAGAAATCTTCAACAAAATATTAGCAAACTAATATTCAGCCAACATTAAAAAGTTTATGCACCATGATGGAGTGAGATTTATATCTGATATGCAAGACTGGTATAATATTTGCCAATTAATTAATGTGATACACCACATAAACAAAATGAAGCATAAAAACCATATTCTATCAGTAGATACTGAAAAAGCATTTGACACAATCCAACATTCTTTCATGATAAAAGCTCTCAGGAAAATGGGGATAAAGGGAAAATACCTTAACATAATAAAATGTATAGAATACTCCAAAGAGTCCACCAAAATATTAATAGAATAAATGAATTCAAGTAAGGTAGTAGGATACCAAATATACAGAAATCTGATGCATTTCCATACACTAGTAGTGATCAGGAGAACTTGTAAACAATTCCATTTACAATGACATCACAAAAGATGATAATACCTAGGAATACAATTAAACAAGGAGGTGAAAGATCTGTACTCTGAAAACTGTAAGACACTGAAGAAAGAAAATGAAGAGGACACTAATTAATGGAAAGATATACTATTCTCATGGATTAGTAGTCGTTAAAATGACCATACTACCCAAAGCAATCTACAAATTCTGTGTACTCCCTATCAAAATATCAATGGCATTCTTCTCAGAACTAGAACAAATAGTCCTAAAATTTACATGATATCACAAAAAAAAACAAAACCACGAACAGCCAAAGCAATCTTGAGAGAAAAGAACAAAGTGGAAGTTTCAAACTCCCTGATTTCCAATAATACTATAAAACAGTATAGTCCTGGCATAAAAACAGACACACAGATCAGTGGAACAGAATAGAAAGCCCAGAAATAAATCTTCCCTTATATGGTCAATTAATCTACAAGAAAAGAGGCAAAAATATACAATGGAGAAATGACAGGCTCTTTAAGAAGTGGTATTGCGAAAACTGGACAGATAAATGCACAAAATTAAACTGGATCACTCTCTTACACCACATACAGAAACAAACTCAAAAAGGATTAAAGACTTAAATGTAAGGCCTGAAACCATGGACCTCCTAGAAGAAAACATAGGTAGTAAACTATTTGACATCGATTTTAGTAATATTGTTTTGGATATGTCTCCTTGAGCAAGGGAAACAAAAGCAAACATAAACAAATGAGACTTCATCAAGCTAAAAAGCTTCTGCAGAGCGAAGGAAACCAACAAAATGACAGGACAACCTACTGAATGAGAGACGATATCTGCAAATAATATATCCAATAAGAGGTTGATATCTAAAAATGAACAGAGGACATGTAGAGACATTTCTCTGAAGAAGATCTACAGATGGCCAACAAACATATGAAAAGATACTCAATATTGCTAATTATCAGGGAAACGCAAATCAAAACCACATTGAGATACCAGTTATAATGGCTATTATCAAAAAGTCAACAAATAACGTGTTGGTGAGGATGTTGAGAAAAGGGAACCCATGTGCACTGCTGGCGGGACTGCAAATTGGTGCAGCCTCTGTGGAAAACAGTATGGAGATTCCTCAATTACCTAGGTATCTGTAGATAGATGAATGGATAAAGAAGATGTGGTATATATATATGAATGAATATTACCTAACCACAAAAAAGAATGAAATCTTGCTATCTGCAACAACATGGATGGACCTAGAGAGCATTACGCTAAGTGAAATCAGTCGGACAGAGAAAGGCGAATACTGTATGTTTTCACTTATATGTGGAATCTAAAAAACAAAACAAAACAGACCCATAGAAACTGAGAGCAAACTGAGGGTTGCGAGAGTTGGGGGAGGGTGTGAAAATGGTAAAATGGAATATATAGTCAATAATATTGTGATAAGCGTACACAGTGACAGATGACTATTAGACTTATTATGGTGATCACATTGTTAAGTATATAAATGTTGAATCACTATACTATACACCTGAAACTAATATAAAATTGTATACCAACTATACTCAAATAAAAATTTTTTTAAAGAGAAAAAAGATGTATTGATGGATGGATAGATTTTTCTCAATTCTATCAGCAGTAAATCTAGCTTTTAAATCTAGCAATGGATAGAGGAACGGATATGATATAAAAGCAAGTATAGTTAAATGTTAACAGTGGCAGGTATATGGGTTTTAACTATAAAATTCTTTCGACTTTTCTGTATGTTTAAAATTTTACAAAATAAAATGTTGGAAATAAATACATAAATAAAACAAGGAGAATGATGGAGTATACTTGAAATAATTGAAAATAATGTTTTTGAAGAATATTTAAAAATATTAAGCATGAGTATGTAAATGTAAAAAAAAAAAAATCCTAACTCATAGAAAAAAAGAGATTTATATAGGAACCACCTAATAGATTTGGCTTTGGAATACAGATGTTTTTAGCAGACTTATTTTTCCTAAATACAATTTTACTAAAATCGGTATATAATCTCTGAGGATAAACTAAATGGAAATAAAGTAAAAAACGGTAAGACTGAAACATGGGAGAAGAAAAGAGATCTGGTATTTTAAAACTGCCTTGAGTAAGTCAGCGCACGAATTTTCTTAGTGACCGAGTACCATCCTACTCATAGAATGCCGCTTTCATTGCCAAAGTGGTGGGACCCGTTCACATTCCCGTGGGCACTGGTGAGAGCTCTGGATGTTCCACTTCCTGGCCCACTTTCAGTTTTTTTTCATTTTGGCCATTTTCTTGGTTTGTAGTAGTATATACTGCTTTTGCTTTGCAGTGTAATTTCAACTCTGAAGAATTAAAAACCTATGTGAAAGTTTCCTAAGCCTGACATGAAATATGCATTTATTCTGTGACTTTGTTATTTTTACTGCATTCACCTACTTGTAAGTAATGTGACAAGAATGATGTATCCAGATGAGTTTGTTGAACCTCTGGTGGCCACTGGAACACAACTGTAGCCCCACGTGAAAACTCTGATCTGCTTCTTGTACAGGGACACGACGAAAATATCTGTATTTATAGTCAAGTGGTTTCTGTAAAAAAAAAAAAAAAGGTGAATAAGCTATAATGAAATGTCACTTCACTGAAATATTTATAGGAGTATATTATGCAAGAGTGACACTAAAACAGTATCTACACATAGTAATTAGAGTTGTCTTAATGTGTCAAATGAGAATGTGTACGTGTCTTAAAAATGTTTAAGCACTTAAAAATATATTTTTCCCCATCATCATCATCTCAGTTAATCATCATGATAGCTCGATATACTATGACTGCATTATTGCTATTTTATGGCTAAAGAAATAAAGACCCAGGCGGTCAAACAAGTTAACCGAAGTTACACGAAAGTTTTAGAGATGGGAATTAAAACTTCTGTCTCCCAGTTCGAAGCCTTCGAGGAAGTATTTCCTTCTACTTGAAAACACTTAGGAAATTCTACTTGAAAACACTTAGGAATTTCTAAAGTGAGAAAGTTAAAAACTGGTGAAGGCTGCAGAAAAAGCAGAAACATATGTGACAAGCTTCATTAGAATCACACTTCTGCAAATATTGCTGCTAAAAACACAAGAATATCAACACTACATATGGTTTCATTGTATCATATTCTGAAGAGAAAATGGGTATTCCATTGGGATTTCCTAAACACTTTTTTTAGATAAAACCTAAATAGGGCGTATGACTCCCCAATTCTGACCTCAGGATATTCATGGCCAAGGTCATAGTCATAGCAACTATCTCAGCTCCTCAGACTGCTGTTCCAGATTCCAAGCGACAACCAGAGTGAGGTGGGAGAAGCCAGCAAAAGATGGTCACAAGGTGATAGCACTAGGACTCACAGAGAAACCCTGCCCTATCTTGGCACATGCTGTTAGAAAAGAGAGGGAGATTCAATATAAGGGAAACTTCTTTCAAAACCTATACTCATTTATAAAAGCAAGAGACAAGTATTTATTCCAACTCCCTCTCAATTGACCTCTTGGGTACACATTATGGTTTTTAATCAGGATTGAAAAAAATGCACATGGAGAAAAGCTGTGAAAAAAATTTGGCCCTCAATCTATTAAAAAATCTTATGTACCTGTTTAAAGACCTCTAGAATGTAATAATTCAGCAATCATATTTGCTTGTCGTGTTTTTTTCTTTCGCAAGCAGGAAGAAGAAAACTATCTGACATTAGCTTATTTCCAGTAGAATTTGAAATTCTCTATAAGACTATCCTTATGAAAGAATTACCTATTTGAGCTAATTCAGGAAGAAAATCCTTTATGATTCAAAATGAGAAGAGCCAAAAACTATTTTCAGATATGGTTTTTTGATATTTTTGATATGATATTTTACTAGTTATTTTACAAGATATTTTGGCTTTACGTTGTCAGATGTGAAAAACCTGGACCAGAAAAAGAAACCATTTGAAGAAAAATAAACAGGCGGATCCAAGAAAAAATAATCGCATTTTAGAAAACCCTCCAGGTCTCTTTAGAGATACGCTATAAGTCAACATGTGGTTTGAATAATAGTATAAATAATGCAACTATGTTTTTATCCTTTCTAATAAATGCTTGAATATGCATATGCAACAAAAGAAAACTGCTAATTCCACCTTGAATACTCACTTCTTCTTTTTTCTTAGTTATCACAGCAAATACTTTGGTCTGATTGTCTGTATCTTGTGACAAGCGATAATGACCCAGTAGAATTGCATCAGTTCTAAAAATTAAAAAATACACTTTAAATCTAAGTCTAATAATCAGTTACTACATGTATTTAAGTAATCCAGGAAATAATGGATTATAATAGTATTTATACAATTTGCCTCAGAAGAATCAACTAGGATGTGAGTAAATCTAGTTTCCAAGGCCCCAGAGTGTACTAAAGTACACTTCTTAGGGAGAGGCCCAGGAATTGATTTTTTTACAAGTGCCCCCCCGGTGACTGCTTTTTTAACCACCCAGTAGTAAATTAAGAAAGCACTGGATTACATTAACCTGCAATTAACTGTATAAAATGCGAACTGAATAGAAAACTACAGAAAGATACTAACCTGGCATTCCGAGTTCTTAAACGAGGAACAATGGATTGAGGCTCCTCGGGGGTTGTCAACATCATCACATGGCCATCAGGGAAAAATCTTATGTACCTGTGTGAAAAGACCAAGAACACCAAAAACACACCACACACACAAAAAGTATAAAACATGTCCTAATTTTCTGGTACCTAAACCTATTTGTATCTGTGACACCAAAACAAATACTATGGCCAAAGAACTGGCAAAACATCACTGAACTGTGACTGATAACCTGTAAAGCCAGCAACAAAGAAATAAAGGCATTTTATTATCTTCCTTAGAGGGAACTGCTGAACTTTTGTTTTACTCACTGAATAAAAAAATTAGATTAAATGTTACTCTAAAGCTCTGTATGTTTTCTCCTAAAGCACTAATTAATGTCAAATAAAAGTGGGATCTCATAATACACAGTAGTTAACATGTCTACTTATTTCTCACTGACAGTAATATCTGATGAACAACAGGCTGAATAAGAGCACAAACAATTTGAAAAGGCAAACGGATATACCAAGGGCAAAAGACAAGGAAGAGGTCTAAAATGTAAAATGATTCTTAGATTCAAAGGTAGGAGGAATTAAAAAATTTGTCATAACCCATTGGTTCTTTGAGTGCAGTTCCTATTGTAATAGTGGATAAAAATACTGAAGGCCATTCTGTGGATAAATGCAAGTCTCAGAGAACAGATGTCCAATAATTAATGAACTAATACTTGGAGAGAGAGAATTTTTCACTCACTCAGTTTACTACAGTTGTACCTGTAATATTCCACTTGGTGCCAGGCTCTATAGAAACCATCAAGAGACTGTTCCCCTTGACGAATATATGTTGTTTTACTGATATATACTCCTATAAAAAAGAAACATCGTTTTAAAAAATTAAGAAAATAAAATTTTTTAAAATTTATAATCATATAGGTTTCTATCTTCATTTTTATTGTGGTTTCCTTCATATGTGCTCATAGTACTTAGGTGTTTAGAGAAAACTAAGACTGTGTAGTTGTCAGTCATGATAGATCAGCGTGATAGATCAGTATTTCTCCTGAGCTCTAAAGAGTTCACTTACCATCAAACCGAACACGGGGCCTTTCTAGAAACATCTCTCTCCAGGATGTATATGGAACAAGTTTAATACAGCTTCTGCCCCAAACTTTCAAGCAGGCCAAACGCCATATTTCAGGTTCTCTAGGTTATAAAAGCACAACATCAATATATATAAAAGGCTAAACCCCTATATGCAGATATAAAAAACACTCCTGCTACCAGCCATCTTCTATTCAGCAAGTATTTGTTTAGTGGCTGCCAAGCACTGTCCTGGCACTGGAGATAGACTGATGGACAAAGACCCTTCTCTTTTACTGATGATAAAGCAAACAAAAATTAGAAAACAAAGAGAAAGTTTCAGATAGTGAGCTTAGTGCAAAAATAAAGTGGGCTAAACAGACAACGATGATGGCAGTGGGAAAATAAAGACTACTTCAGATAGAACAGCCAAGAAAGGCCTCTCTTGGCATGTGCCTATAGTGATGAGGAAGAGTATTCTGAGCAGAAACCACAGCAAGTGCAAGGCCCTAAGGCAGGAGTATGGCTGCTGTGCTCCACAAGGAGTAAGAAAGGTCATGTGGCTACAGCAAAGCAAACAAGTACAGACTATGTAATTTTAGAAGTAGTCAGGGGCAGGTGAAGTAGTGGTTTTCAGGTAGAAGTGAGATGGAGGCCGTTGCAGGGTTTTGAGCATGACTTACACTTCTAAAAGATCATTCTGGGAGAGATCCAAGATGGCAGTGGCATAGGAGAATGCTGAACTCAACCTTTCCCATAAGCAAACTCAAATATACTTGAATATAGACTGCAATTGCTCCTGTGAGACAACTGAAGGCTGAATGAACAGCTGAACAACAAAGAGATGAAACAGAGGAGGCTCAGGGAGCTGTGGGGACTTTCCAGGCCAGAGTAGCCAGTGAGCGCCATTGTTTACGTTCCCTCCACATTGATAGGTCAGGCAGAAACTATTTGGGTGCTCTGGTCATCTTGCAAGATCACCACAGAGTGGTCCCAGCTACCCTGCCCAGAGCCTTCTGCCTCAGAACAAAGGGAGCAAATAGGAATAAGAGGCATCACCACACACACCTGCTGGCCTCCCTACCAGGAGCCACTCCAGACTCATGAGCCAGTACTCCAGGCCCTGTAAGCACCTACCTGGCTCCAACCGGCTTCCCAAAACTACCAGGCACACAAAGCCTACAAAGAGGTCATTCTACACAAGACCTTTTTATGTATAGCAAACAAGAGAGAGACTAAATAGAGAAGGCTAAGGAGCCACAGAAGCCCTCTCGGGACTGTGGGAATTCTCCAGGTTCAGAAGTACCTTTAAGTGCCATTGTTTATACCCCCTCTACTTCCATAGGATGGGTGGAAGCACTATCCAGGTGCTCTGGCCTACCTACAAGGTTGCTGTAGCACATTCTTGGACACATTGCCCAGGCGCATTTCAGCCCTGAACAAAGGTAGCAAGCATGGAGCAGGGAGTAAAAATGTAGTCCTCATAGAATATATTCAAACTCAAACAACTACCAGCTTAAAATAGACTGAAAAAGATATAGAATAATGTACATAAACCTCATGGTAACCACAAAGCTAAAACTTACAAAAGATATACAAAGAATAAAGAAAAAGGAACCCAAACGACACACTAAAGAAAATGGCAATCAGTACATACTTATCAATAATTACTATAAATGTAAATGGATTAAGTACTCCAAAAGACAAGGGGTGGCTAAATGGATTAAAAACCACAACCCATCTATATGTGGTTTACAAGAGACTCACTTAGAATTGAAAGACACATACGAACTGAAAGTGAAGAGATGGAAAAACATATTTCATGCAAATGAAAAGAAAGCTGGGGAAGCAATATTGATATTAGACAAAATAAATTTTAAACAAAAAATGTAAAGAAAAAGATAAAGGACATAATTATAAAGGAATTAATCCAAGAAGAGGCTATTAACAATAGTAAATATCTACACACTCAATACAGGAGCACCTAAATATGTAAAGTAATTATTAATGGACATACTGGAGAAACCCAAAGTAATACAATAATAGTAGAGGATTTTAATACCCCACTCACATTATTAGACAGAAAATTAAGAAAATTAATAAGGAAATAATGGCCTTAAATGTCACGCTGACTAGATCAACTTAATAGACATTAACAGAACATTTCATCTCAAAATGGCAGAATATATATTATTTTGAGTGCACATGGAACATTCTCCAGAATAGATTAGGCCAAAACAAGTCTCAATAAATTCAAGAAGGCTGAAATCATATAAAGCATTTTTTCTGCCCACAATGGCATGAAACTAGAAATCAACTATATGAAGAAAACTGGAAACAACACAAATACACGGAGACTAAACAACATGCTACTAAACAAACAATGAATCAAAAACAAAATCAAGTAGGAAATCAAAATTACTTGAAACAAATGGAAATTAAAGACACCCTATGAAAATTTACAGGATAAAGCAAAAGCAGTTCTAAGAGGGAAGCTCATAGCTATATACATCTACATCAAGAAATAAGAAAAATCCCAAATTAGGGAAACTAAGGAAAAAAAGTAAACAGAAGGAAGAAACTGTTAAGATTACAGTGAAAATAAACAAAATAGAAATTTTAAAAATATAAAAGACTGATGAAACTAAGATCTGGTTCTTTGAAAAAAATAAACGAAGTTGACAAACCTTTAGCCAAATTCATCAAGAAAAAAAGAGAACCCAAGTAAATATAATCAGAAATGAAAGAGATATTACAACCGACACCACAGAAATACAAAAGAATCATTAAAGAATACTACATCAACAAATTATACACCAACAAATTCAACAATCTAGAAAAAATGAATAAATTTCTAGAAGTATATAACCTTCCAAGACTAAACAAAGAAGAAATACAAAATCTAAACAGATTACTAAAAATGAAATTTAAACAGTAATCAAAAACTTCCAACAAACAAAAGCCCAGGACCAGACGGCTTCACGGGTAAATTCTACCAAACATTCAAAGAAGAATTAATATGAATCTTTCTCAAACTACTCCGAAAGACTGAAAGGGAACGAATGCATCCAAACTCAATCTATGAGGCCAGCATTACCCTGATACCAAAAACAGACAAAGACACTTAAAAAAAAAAAAAAGATTACAGGTCAATATCCCCAATGAAAACAGATGTAAAAATTCTCAACAAAATATCAGCAAACCAAATTCAACAGTACGTTAAAAGAATTATCTACACCATGATCAAGTGGGTTTAATACCTGGGATGCAAAAA